ATGAGAGGAAATCATTGATTGGCTGCCTCCCCCACGCCCCTAAATGGGGATTGAGCCCTCAACCCTAGATGTGCCCCAGACCAGAATCAAACCCGGGATCCTCCAGTCCACAGACCGACGCTCTATTTATTCATTGAGCCAAACCAGTTACGGCCATTATATAGTCTTTTTTAAAAATATTTTTAAATGATTTTTTTAAGAGGGAGAGAAACATCCATGTGAGAGGTTTTTAAAAAAAAGATATTTTAAAATATTTTTAGGGAGAAAAAGAGAAACATTGATATGAGAGTGAAACATCAATCAGTGGGAACACCCTGTACCAGGGATTGAGCCTGCAGCCCAGGCATGTGCCCTGACCTAAATAGAACCAATGGCCTTTTTGTGCATAGAACGAAGCCTACCCAACTCAGCCACACTGGCCAGGGCTCTATTATAATTTAATGGGAACACCATCACATGTGGTCCGTAGTTGACCGAAATGTCATGGTTATATACAGTATATATTCACCAGGAAGCAGAGGAAGGGAACAACAAGTAAAAGGAAAAAAAAAAATGGATTCTATTCTGTAATTATAACTATGGAAAGTTGTAATTTATATATTGATTTGGGCCCTTTAATTCGTGTGGAACAACTTCTGAATAGCACAACATACCTAAGTATCATTGCTGATCAAGTTCATCCTATCATGTTGATGGAGTATCCCAATAGCGATGGCTTCTTCCAACAAGACAATGCGCCATGCCATGGTGCTCGTGTTGTGCAGGAGTGGTTTCAAGAACATGAGGGAGACTTTACCTTGCTTAGGTGACCCCACAATCTCCAGATCTCAATCCAATAGAGCATTTGTGGGACGAAGTTAAAAGAGCCATCAGGCAGCCGGTTCCACAACCATCAAATCTCACAGAACTGGACAGTGCTATTCAGGCATGGTGGCAGATTCCTCCCATCACCTTTTAACATCTCGTGGAGTCAATGCCAAGAAGAATCGCCGCAGTACTAAAGGCAAAAGGTGGTCCAACTAAGTACTGATGGAGTGATCATAATAATTTGGCCACTCAGTGTGTGTGTGTGTGTGTGTGTATACAGGGCATGCAATTACTTAATATTTCTGGAGACTGAGTCATATCAGCACATATAGACCTATACATTCCTTAATGGCTGCATGGACTGGATATGCTGCAATTGACTTAGCCATCCCTCTATTGATGGATTTAGGTTAATTTGAAGTTTTTTGTTAATGCAAACAATGAATTAAAAGTTATAGTGCTCTTAGTAAATAAATAAAACAATGCACAGGTTGCATGTGACCTTTCCATAGTTGTAATTACAGAACAGAACCCATTTTGTTATTTTTTTTTTTAACTTGGTTCATTTCTCTTGTTGTTCCCTCCCTTTGCTTCCTGGTGAATTTCTATAAGTTCTTCACACCTGCCAATCATAATCCATGCTTGGACACCTTTTCTGATTTCACTTGGCTCCTCACTCCTCTCTCTCTAACTCAGCACAGGGTTTATCAAGGTGTGTTGTGATGTTGTGATCTGAACTGTATCTACTTGGTTGAACTTCTTGTGAGTAGTGCCTGGGTCTTGCTGATCTGTGTTCCCCAGTTGCCAGGGCCTGGAATAAAGTTAGCATTAAAAAGATGTTGAATAGCCTTAGCCAGTTTGGCTCAGTGGATAGAGCTTTGGCCTATAGATTGAAGAGATCTGGGTTAGTTATGGTCAAAGGCACATGCGCTGGTTGCAGGCTCAATCCCCAGTGGGGGGCGTGCAGGAGGCAGCCCATCTGTGGTTCTCTCTCATCTTTTTTTTTTTTTTTAAAAATAATATATTTTATTGATTTTTTACAGAGAGGAAGGGAGAGAGATAAAGAGCTAGAAACATTGATGAGAGAGAAACATCGACCAGCTGCCTCCTGCACGCCCCCTACCGGGGATGTGGCCGCAACCAACGTACATGCCCTTGACCGGAATCGAACCTGGGACCTTTCAGTCCGAAGACCAACGCTCTACCGCTGAGCCAAACTGGTTTCAGCTCTCTCTCATCTTTGATGTTTCTCTCTCTCTCCCTCTCCCTTCCCTTCTGAAATCAATAAAAAAATATTTTTAAAAAATGTTGAATAGGTGATGTATTCTATTTATTTCCTGTATAGAGCTAATCACAGGACAATTTATGTTTACAGTTTTGTTTTTAAATATATTTTATTGATTCCTTACAGAGAGGATGGAAGAAGGATAGAGAGCTAAAAACATCAATGAGAGAAAAACATCGACCAGCTGCCTCCTGCACACCCCCTACCGAAACCAATGTATTATATATGTCCTTGACCGGAATTGAACCTGGGACCTTTAAGTCCGCAGACCGATGCTCTATCCACTGAGCCAAACCTGTCTCGGCTATGTTTCCAGTTTTGAGAGGTTTGTTTTGTTTTTGCTTTGATAAATAATGCTTTAGTGAACCTCCTGCCTCTAGACTTTTTCTCCTTTTGGATTATGCACCAGGTTGTTCTTCCAAGCCGTTTACTGGATTCACCTCACCCCCTACCCCCAACTTGCCTTAAGATAGTGTGCATAGCCAAAACCGGTTTGGCTCAGTGGTAGAGCGTTGGTCTGTGGACTGAAGGGTCCCGGATTCGATTCTGGTCAAGAGCATGTACCTTGGTCGCGGGCACATCCCCAGTAGGGGGTGTGCAAGAGGCAGGGGATCGATGACTCTCTCTCATCAATATTTCTAACTATCTCTCTCCCTTCCTCTCTGTACAAAATCAATAAAATATATATTTTTAAAATCAATAAAATATATATTTTTAAAATCAATAAAATATATATTTTTAAAAAAGATAGTGTGCATAGCAGTGGCTTTTTGAAGGCAGGGGGCTTCTATTGGGTCGGCAGCTAAGTAATTGCGGGTTTCACACATATATGGCTTCAGTTGAATTTTTAGGTTTGCAGACGTAGTACAAATGTAAAACACATTTTGTTATTTGATAGTTGGCTATTCAGCTGTTAATCAGTAAAAAAAGTTTTTTGATCTGTTTTGTAGTTTTTGTTTGGCGTTCGTTGAAAAATGGAAAATCAAAAGGAACATTTTTGTCATATTTTGATTTTTTATTTCCACAAAGGGAAAAACGTATCCCAAGCTCATAATAAGTTATGTGTTATTTATGGTGACGAAGCCTTAAAAGAACGGCAGTGTCAAAATTGGTTTGCCAAATTTCGTTCTGGTGATTTTTCACTCAAAGATGAAAAACGCTCTGGTCGTCCAGTTGAAGTTGATGACGCCCTAATCAAAGCAATAATCAATTCGGACTGTCACAGTACAACACGTGAGATTGCAGAGAAGCTTCATGTATCACATACATGCATTGAAAATCACTTAAAACAACTTGGCTATGTTCAAAAACTCGATACATGAGTTTCTCACGAACTGAAAGAATCACAGTTAACGCAACGCATTAGCAGCTGCGATTTGCTAAAGAAACATAATGAAAATGATTCATTTTTAAAACGACTGATAACTGGCGATGAAAAATGGGTTGTTTACAACAATATCAAGCGGAAAAGATCGTGGAGCAGGCCAGGTGAACCAACTCAAACAACATCAAAAGCTGATATTCATCAAAAGAAGGTTTTGTTATCAGTTTGGTGGGATTACAAAGGAATTGTCTACTTTGAACTCTTACCACCCAACCAAACGATCAATTCTGATGTCTACATTGAACAACTAACGAAATTAAACAGTGCAGTTAAAGAAAAGTGGCCCGAATTGACAAATCGAAAAGGTGTTGTATTCCATCATGACAATGCAAGGCCACACACATCTTTGGTCACTCGGCAAAAATTAATGGAGCTTGGTTGGGATGTTTTGCCACATCCACCATATAGTCCTGACCTTGCACCATCTGATTACTTTTTGTTTCGATCTTTACAAAACTCCTTGAATGGTAAAAATTTCAATAATGATGATGATGTCAAATCGTACCTGATCCAGTTTTTTGCTAATAAAAACCAGAAGTTTTTTAAACGTGGGATTATGATGCTGCCTGAAAGATGGCAAAAGGTCATTGATCAAAATGGGCAATACATTACAGAATAAAGTTATTTAGTTCCATAAAAAAATTGTCTTTGATTTTCTTTAAAAAATCCGCAATTACTTAGTTGCCGACCCAATAGAATTAAAATGGTAACTAGAAAATCGTTCAATTTTGTCCTGAGACAGCCTCTCTGACCCTGATGAATTCCTTCTCTGCTCTGTGCTCAGGTTCCCTATCAACGTTAAGAAATAGTCAAACCTGTGAAGAATTTTTGTGAGTTTATTTGACCCAAACTGCTGACAAATGCCGGGAAGCAAAATCTCAATGGATTGAGATAATGCTCTGGAGAATGGCAATTATGCACTTTGTGATCGTTTGTTTGTTTGAAATATATATATTATTTATTTAAGAGAGAAAGGGGAAGAGAAACATCAATGATGAGAATCATTGATCGGCTGCCTCCTGCACGCCCCCTACTGGGCGGGGGTGGGGGGATCAAGCTTACAACCCAGGCATGTGCCCTTGGCCCAAATGGAACCTGGGACCCTTTAGTCCGCAGGCGGATGCCCTGTCCACGGAGCCAAACTGGCTAGTTGCACCTTGTTTTACACATCACAATCAAAAGAAGAGACCTAAGTGAGTTACCAGAAATCCATCCGTGATAGATTAGGGAGGTGGGAAAAAGCAAAGTTGGGCGGAGGAGAGAAGGGGAGAGCTCTGGGATTGGATAAAAAGTAAAATGACAGACACACTTTTTACTTAGGTGGGTGCAGGGCAGTTAACAGTCAACAAATGAACTCAATAACAATGAGGGAAGTTGTGGTCTCTGCAGCCTGGTGCCTGTGCTTTGAGGGGTCTGGAAAAGGGAAAATTACTTTGACATTCCGACGAATGTATCACAGGTGCAAGAGAACAACAGTCTCAGTTATGATAAAGACTGATACTGGCCTAGACCATGACTACCCACCATAAACTGCTTTTCGTCTTCAAAGTTTTGGTTTCAGACCATCCTTTGTGGTTACTTTAGGTCTCTGAGTTGGCGAGGCGGCCATGCCGGCTTCCCTTACCTAGCCAGGTTAGCATGCGGCCTCTTTCCGTCCAACCTTTCACCCATTTTGCACGTGGAGAGCCTCTGTGGCCCTGACAAACCTCCTCTCTCCTCTGCGCCTCAGGTTCCCCTGATGCACTTCCTTCCGGGAGCCGGCAAAGTCCCGCCTTCCCACGGCTCTGAAGCCCCGCCTTCTTGCTTTTCCGATTGACAGTCGATCCGACCAATCAGCGTGCTGTGGGCTGCCCTCTGGACACATGCGCACTGATGTCGCAGGGGGGAATGGGTGGCTGCCGGGTGCTGGGCCAGGTCTGGGGTGGCTGGTGGCGGGGGCCAGGGGTCGGCTCAGCTCGCAAGGTCGCAAGCTTTGGCACCGAGGCCCGGTGATTACACACATCCCCATACACACTTCCGGGAGGAAAAGGGGGGATTGGGGGAAGGTGTGTGCGGGATCTGGAATTAGGAAGATAGGGGTTCTAATGCTGGTTCTGCTGTTTGATGGCACATTAGTCACTAGTCCTCTCTGAGCCTCAGTTTTCTCCTCTGTAAAATGGGGCCACTTTAGGAAGCAAGCGATCACAAATTCCCTTATTGTTATTGAGTTAATTTGTTGCCAGTGTGGAGGTAAGAATGGGCAGCACCTCGGTAAACGCACTCCCCTGTTGCTTACTCCACATTTCCCAGGCGTCAGCTGCAACCTCGAGGCTCCAGCAAACGATCAGGGACCCTGGGAAACCAGCCCTTCCCAGGGCTGCTGCAGCCGGAGAACCTCAGCCGGGAGGAGCTGGTCCATGTGCTGAGGGCGTCTGTGGTGGACCAGAGAGGTGAGCGTGAGCGAGACAGCTGCTCAGAGACCGGGAGGGAGCTCGCTGCCCCTAGCCTTCTGTAAAAGTGTCAATAAAAATTAAAAAAAAAATGAATTGAGAAAGTGCTTTGTAAACTCTAACTGCTGCTTTTTCTGTCAATGATGTTCCTGTATGTATGTTTTAGGACCACTGGTGACATTGAACAAGCCACAGGGTCTTCCAGTGACAGGTAAGAGCAGGGGAAGGAGATGCTCTGAAAGGGAGTTTGATGTCTCTAAGGAGGGCATAGTGAAGAGGAGGGAATGATGGGATAGAGTTGCCCCTGGAGCAACTTGTATTTTTTATTTTTTCCAGGAAAACCAGGAGAGCTGACACTGTTGTCAGTGCTGCCAGAGCTGAGCCAGTCCCTGGGGCTTGGGGAGCAGGAGCTCCAGGTTGTCCGAGCATCTGGGAAGTGAGTGGTGCGGGTGATAGGAAGGGAGGGTAGGTATCCATCCAGGGTAAGGGAACAGTTGCTTGGAAATAAGCCGAGGCATTTCCATGGCTGGTTTGGGATCGTAGAGATAGAATGCAAGGTGCAGGAGGGGACAGGCAGATCTGGGTTCAAATCCTCATGCACAAACTGGGACCTTAGGCAAAGCATGAAACCTCACTGAGCCTCAGTTTCCTTCATCAGTACATAGAGCTAATAATAGCAATGTTCGGCATGCAGTCACTTTTCCAGGTCCATACTCATGGCAGGCATTGGCCATCGATTGACCATCGATATTCTTTCTTCTAACTGCCGTCAATTAGAGATGGTAGTTGAGAGAAATATTTTTGCACTTTCACAAACTCCTTGTGTTGCTTGTGGGGTATTTAATGACTTCAGAGTTAATAAATGTAAAATTAGTAGTAATAAGGCCTGGCACATGGTGGACACACAGCAGTGGGTGGTAATTGTTATGACGTTTAACTCTGAGCTCCCTGGAATCCAAGGAGCTGAGATTGGGTAATTTTTAAAAATATATATATTTTATTGATTTTTTACAGAGAGGAAGAGAGAGGGATAGAGAGTTAGAATCATCGATGAGAGAGAATCATCGATCAGCTACCTCTTGCACACCCCTACTGGGGATGTGCCTGCAACCAAGGTACATGCCCTTGACCAGAATCGAACCTGGGACCTTTCAGTCCACAGGCCGATGCTCTATCCACTGAGCCAAACCAGTTTCAGTGAGATTGGGTAATTTCTTTAAATCTATCTTCCAACTGAGTAATTTTCCTTTAGTTGGATCTACCCGTAGCCTTATCCAGCACGAGGAAGCCCTGTTCCCCGGGAGGAGGTGTGGGTTATCATCTGGTATTACTGTTTGGCCTTACACAGGTCCGTGTGCCTCCCTTGTTTGTGAATGAGCCCGAGGGACTTGAACTTCCATGACTTTGTCCCCTTCCTGCAGGGAGGCCTCTGGGCTTGTCCTCCTCTCCAGTTGTCCCCAGACAGTGAGCTGCCTCCAGAAGTTCTTCACCCAGTCACGGAGAGCCCGGACACCCACAGCCACCTACTGGTGAGAGGCGCTGGCAGGCTCCCGGGGCTGCAGGGCGGTCCCGCCACGCCGCCCTGTGACCGAGCGCCTCCTGCTCTTCCTCAGGGCTGTCACCGATGGGATCCCCGCGACTTCGGAGGGGAGGATCCAAGCAGCTCTGAAACTGGAATATGTTGATGACGTCGGCTTGGTGAGTCAGGGTCTGGGTGGGGGACTCTCCGACATATGACTCTTACAGGGGAGTAGCTGGCTCTCCTGCCTCCCAAAACAGGCAAGTGACCACTGCCTGTCCTGAGTAGCAGGGAGGGTTTGGGTGTAGCTCCTGGGTGTGTTTGTGTGTGTGAAGCATGTTCATTCTTGGGGGCTGGTACTACAGGCAGTTCCGGTGAAGTCCCCGTCCCGAAAGGACCTCCTGGAAGGTGTCAAGAGGACCCTGAGCCACTTCCGTGTGGTGGCCACAGGCCCTGGCTGTGCTCTGGTCGAGCTGCAACCCCTGACAGGTGGGTCTGGAGCCCCAGCCAGAGTTTAGAACTGCATTTGGCTGGGGAGGTGAGGGAGTGGGAGGAAGGTGGTAGTGTTAGGAGCAGCCCGGGACCATTTGATGGACCCCAAAGCTGTATGCGACCAGACCCAGGTTGTCTTCTGTTGTCAATCTAATGGTCACTCCTTTGTAGCTCATCCATTTTTTTCTCTTAGTTATTGATCTCAGGGTCTTCTCTCTGTCCTTGGTGTTCTGTAGCATCCCTATGATACATCTGGGTGTGGGGTTTATTTTTATTTATGTTGCTTGGGATTCACTGTGCTTCCTGAATCTGAAGATTACCGTATTTTTCGGACCATAAGACGCACCGGACCATAAGACGCACCAGTTTTTAGAGAAGGGAAATGAAGAAAAAAAGATTCTGAAACAAATAGTGTCCTAAAATATTTTATGTGCATTAAAACCCAACATCACAGTCATAAACACATGTAATCAACCCTGTAAACAGCAGCATTTAGAACCATTTTAGAGCCGGGCAAGCACACAGAGACCACACAGAGCCGGGCAAGTAAAAAAACTTTTTTTTTAAAGTATATGTGTAGGCTACATTTGGACCATAAGACGCAGGGACTTTTCCCCCCCACTTCTGGGGAGAAAAAAGTGCGTCTTATGGTCCAAAAAATACGGTAATATATTGCATCAATCCTGGAATGCTCTCTCTCCAAATGTTGTGCCTCTTGGATTCTTTCTATTCTCCTCCTTTTCAATGTCTACTAGACAGGTCTGACCTTCTCATTCTATTCCCTATTCACTTTTCTTTCCTATTTTTTTTTATTTCTTTATCTCTGCTGTATTCTGGGTAACTTCTTTACTTTTAACTGATTTGAGAGAGAGAGGGAGAGAGAGGAAGGAAGGGAGAGTAACACCCATCTGTTGCTCCACTTATTTATATGCAGTCATTGGCATAAATATGTGTGTTGACTGGGATTGAACCCTCAACCTTGGTGTATTGGGATGACACTCTAACCAACAGAGTTATCTGGCCAGGGCCTTGGCAATTTCTTTAGATCTATCTTCCAGTTGAGTAATTTTCCTTTAATTGGATCTAATCTGCAAATGTAACCTATCCATTAACTATATTTTTCACTTCTAGAAGTTCTATTTGGGTCTTTTATAAATACAAATGGCCTTTTAAAAAACATGACATGTTTTTTTACCCATATTATTTGTTTTTTGTTTTTTGGGGGGGGAGGGTTGGTCTTTAATAATTTTAAACAATTGTGTTTCTATAATTCCATTGTCTGAAATTCTTGAGGGTATAATTCTATTGTGTTTCCCACCCACTCTCTCACTTGGTGGGTTAGGTTCCTCTGAGCTCTGTGAAAACCCTTTATTGCCTCATTGGATGTGGGCCCTTAGGGAGAGGTTTCACCTTTGCTTCTGCTGAATGCCAGGACTATCACTACTTTAGGATCTCCCTAAATAGTAGTTTCAGTCGGAAGTTCACAGATCACCTGAGACGTATCAGAGCCCCAAACCTATGTGAGAACAGGCTCATGGCTATGAATTTTAAGGGGAATGGTTCATTCCTTTTATCCAGCCCTACGGTAATCCTCTGCCTTCCTTGGTGGCTGGCTTTTTCTCCGGTCCACCATTTTCATTGGGGCAGCATACTTTATACCCAGTAGCTTCAGCAATAAATTCAGGGTGGCCTCTCGTCATGGGTGTCTCTCACAGGCCAGCTGGGTGGACAGCTGTGACTGTCCTGACCTGGTCCCTGTGCCCTCCTGTGGAGGCAGGGGCAGTAGCATCCGCCTCACTAAAGCCACCTGATCTGAGTGAGCATGGGGGTGGTGTTTCCCCAGAGGAAATGGGGTCAGATGATACTGGGTAGGATGGAGAGCAGCTGCTAACCATCTGATCTCTGCGATCTCCTAGTGTTCGCCAGTCAGCTACAGGTACACATGGTCCTCCAGCTCTGCCCCATGCTCGGGGACCACACGTATTCAGCCCGCGTGGGCACTGTCCTGGGCCAACGCTTTCTCCTGCCAGCCGAGAGCACCAAACCCCAAAAACAGGTACCCACGCTGACCTGAGCTGTCTTCTGCCTCCTGGGGGTGGGCTGGGGGACCAGGGTGGGCACATGCCAGGCCTTACCTCTGCAGCTTGGGGCTGGGCGGCGGCCCTCGTGGCTTCCGAAGGTGCTGTAGCCCTGTCTTGCTGAATGGCCGTGAGCAAGTGACACCCCCTCTCTTGGGCCTCGTTCTGCCCCATCTGTCCACAAAGAAGGCTGAACCAGCTGGTTTCTAAAGGCCCTTCTAAGGCTGCTGATCTTTGAGTGTCTCTGGTAAAAGGGGTAAGAGAGGTTGTGTGTATTAGGTAACCATCAGTTCTAACAGACTAGCCCCAAAGTCCTGGGGTCTTTAACACATGAATTTCCCAATTAATAAATCCAATTAATGGGGGTGGGGCAGAGGTGAGCTTTGCTCCAAGGAGTCACTCAGGGACCCAGGCAGTTGCTATCTAGCCAGCAGACAAGTGGGCACAGTGCAGGTTCCCATGGGAGATTTTCATGGGCCAGGTCTGGAGGTGACATACATACAAACACCCCCTTTCCATTGGCTAGAGCTCAATCACATGTCCTTACCAAACTGCACCAGGGGCTGGGAAATGTCATTCAGCTCTATGCCCAGGCACAAACTGAATTGGTGAACCCCTAACCATAGCGAGCATGTGAGTGTTTGCATGTGCACACATGGGAAGGAAATGAATAACTACAGATGTGGCGGGAAGGAGGAACTACTTGTCTAACCCCCATTTTGGTGAGAGCTGGTTGGAACTGGCCTGGCTGATGCTGACATGCCTCTCCCCCAGCAGGTCCTGAATGAAGCCCTCCTCAGACACCTCCGCCTGACACCTGCCCAGGCCTCCCAGATGCCCCTGCACCTCCACCTGCGCTGTCTCCACCTCCCGGGCCCCAGGCCCAGGGATGCCCCCATAGAGCTTTTGGCACCTTTGCCCCCTTATTTCTCCAGAACCCTACAGTGCCTGGGGCTCCGCCAGCAATAGTCCGTCTGTTCCTACTGGAGAGCGGGGGTGTGGGGGCCTGCAGGCTGGAGGAGAATGAGCTTGGTGTGCAGTCTGTGGTGAGGTCATGGTTTAGGCTCTGCTCTTGGACTGGCCAGGCACTTGCTGTGTGATGTTGGACAAATAACTTCACCTCTCTGGATTTGAGATAATAAATGCACCTAACTCATAGTATGGTTTTGAGGATTTGCAGAGAAAGTAAAACGTTTACCATGGACCATGCTTTCTGTTGAGTTCAAAGTGTGGCCTTTTATTTAGCTGCTTCTGCCCCAATTCCAGTTGGGAAGAAATGTTAGATTTTTTTAAAAGTGTGAAAAAACACAGCTAACAAGATTTACCCTCTTACCATTGGTAAGTGTACAGTTCCCTGGGCATTAAGCACATGCACAGCGCTTTGCAACCATCACCATTTTCTGTCTCTAGAACTCTTCATTTTCCAGAACAAACTCTGTACCCATTAAACAAGAAGTCCCCATTCCCCTCCCTGTCCCTGCTAGCCACACTTCTTCGTCTCTAAGAATTTGACTACTCTAGAGAACCTCATGTAAGAAAGATGTGGGTTTTTTTTGTTTGTTTTGTTTTTTACTTTAAAAATTTGTGAAATAGATTAAACATAAGAGTGCATAAAACATCTCTGTGACTTAAATAATAATTATAAATTGATTCCTACATAACCATTACTCGGCATGAAACAGAAACATCCTCTCTTGTAAAGCAGCAGTTCTCCACCCTAACCCTCATTAGAACGCCCCCTACGAAGCCGCCTCAGGAAGCTTTTAAAGTCCCCATAACTTGGGGGGGGGGGGGGCAATGGTAAGATATGTACACAGATAATAATTTAATATTATATAAATAAATAATAAATAAATTCCCCATAACTTGCCCAGCCGGTATGATGCTTGAGCATTGTCCCATGAACCAGGTCACAGTTCCATTCCTGGTCAGGGCACATGCCAGGATTTATCATGGGGACTTTAAAAAAATGTTTTTATTGATTTCAGAGAGAGGAAGGGCAAGGAGAAATATCTTTCCCTCTCCCTTTCTGAAATCAATAAAAACATTTTTTTTTTTAAATCTCCATGATTAACACCCCAAAGATACTGGTTTGATCTGCCTGGATGGAGACCCCTAGCATTGATCTCTCTTAAAAGCTCCCTAGGAGGTTCAGCATATGTGGGAGCCGCTGCCTTGACAGAATTCTTTCCTCGCTTGCCTTTTTTTTTTTAAGTTTTACCACATGTATGCATCCTGATGTGATAGATTTCATCATGCCTAGTTCCCAAATTTCTATAAATGGAATCATGCTGCACATGTTCTTTTATGATTTGCTCTCGCTGCATACTGAGAAATGCAAATGTGTTGTTTGGTGTGGGATTTGAATTCTAGTGCTTGAATAAACCATTCTGTTGGTGGACAGTTGGATCATTTGGCTGTTAGACCACCATGCTGCTGTGAACCTGAGAGGAAGCCCTTCCTGGTTGTTAGACCAGAATTTCTGGGTCAGAGTGTATGTGTTTTCATTTGCCTGGTGTATTCGTTTCCTAGGGCTGCCATAGCAAATTGCCACAACCCAAGTGACTTAACACAATAGTAATTGTTTCTCTCACGGTTTTGGAGGCCACGAGTTTGGCGTCAGGCACTGCCAAGGCTGTGCTCTCGGTGAGGGCTCCGTGGGGGAGTCCTTCCGGGTCTCGTCCAGCTTTTGGCGGCTCCAAGCGTTCCTTGGCTTCTGGCTGCATTACAGCAATCTCCGCCTCCATCTTCACGGAACCTTCTCGTGTGTGTGCCTTCTCTTCTGACTCATGAGGACAATTATCATTGAGTAAAGGCCCACCTGGATAATCCAGGATAATCTCATCTCAAGATCTTGACAAGATATTACATCTACAAAGATCCTTTTACCAAATAAAATCATTAACAGGTTCTAGGTAGACATATTTTGGGGGGCGGGGGGGAGAGACACACCATTCAATCCATTACAACTAAGAAATATCTAACTTTCCAGATGAACATGGCTTGTTGGATATCTTCCTTTTAGGTGACCTTGGCCCTTGTGAGGAAGGGACAGACCCACTATCTCTGGAGAAGGGCTGGGGTTCAGGCAAGGTCCACCCTTACCCCTATGTCTCACGTTGTAAACCTGTGGGCATTAGATGTCAGCCCAGCTCCTCCTTTGATCTTGGGGGACTCCCAGTGGTCAGCCATTCTGGCAGTGTGTCCCCACACTTCTGCCTACAGCCCCCATGATCTTGGGAAAGCCACGTCTCCTCGTTCAGACTCTGTAAAGTAAGGCTTATCCCCCACCCAAAGTTCAGAGAGAGTTCTGGAACAGGAAGCACCATGTCTGCCACTATGTGGGAATCCTGGGCCTTGCTTTCCTGGAGGATTGCTAATGGCCTCTAACTCTTGTGGGCCTCGGGGTACAGAGCCCCACTCTACCCTCTCCTCGCCCTCCAACAGAAACGGAGCCAGGCCAACAATACTTTACTTGTTCCTTTTTATTTGGCGCTGCATCCGGCTTAGGGACCGTGAGGCCTGAAGCAAGGGCTTCTTTAGCTTCACATCCCCCATACCCCCCACCCTCTGATGTGCGCTGATTAGAGGCAGGGTACCCGGAAGGTTCAGCACCTTCATGGGGTATGCTTCCGTCTTGGATCTGTCACAGAGTGTGACCTTGAAGTCGCCTTTGGCCTTGATACTCCCGTGTGTGCTAGGGAGATTTCCAACTTCAAAGGGTTGAGGCCGCAAGGCACCTCCAGGATAAGGACCGTGAATGCGCTTGGGAGCAACAGCCTCGGTGCAAAAGAGGGAAGAAGGGGGAGAGATGATCAGGAATGTGTCCGGGAAGGAAATTCTGAGGGAAACAAGCCCTCCCCTTGGGGTCCCAGCCAGCCTGGGAGCTAGCTGCCCTCTGCCTGCTCCCTCAAGCCCTGACCCCAGCACTCAGCACTGCCCACCAGGGGAGCGAGTCATATAGTTTGAGCCCACCTTTCTTGGTTTCAGGATGGCGGGTGCCTGCTTGAGCTCAGGTGATGAGAGGGAAATAAAAATCTTGGCTGTAGGTAGAATCATCAAGGACTTGCCCGCGGTCAGCAGGGCCTTAGAGCCCATCAGCTTGCTGTGCTGCAGTCTCAGGACCCGCCCCTGGGGTTGGAGCACATGGAGAGAAGGCAGCCGCACCATGTTGTGGAGGCTGGGGAAGAGGTAAGGGGCTGTGGGAGCAAGAGGCGCTGTGAAGGCCTGGGAGGGCCCCAGTCTGACCAGCTCCCCCTCAGAGTGCATGTGTAGAGTGGGAGGTGGGGGGAGATGAAGGCTGGGGGCAGATGAAGGCAGACGGAGCCCTCCCAGAGGCCACGGTGTGGAGTCCCAACAGACCTGGGTCTGCGTCCCATCTCTGCCCCTTCTGAGCCGTGCCACCTCGGGCAACTTCCTTAAACTTCCTGCTCCCTCAATGGGGATCCCAGCACCAGCCTCTCGAGGTGGTGAGGACTAAAGGAGCCCGTTAGGTAGCAACACAGGGTAAAGGGTTCAGTGCCAGGCAGATGTTCGTTCCTTTCCCCCAGAGGCAAAGGCACAGGAGTGTGGAAGGAAAAGCTCGGGTGCTGGGGAGAGGTCGACCTGCAATGGAGTGCTGGCATCTTTGAAATAACTGCCTCACAAGGTGACTCTTTCAGAGGGGACAACACTCCCTCGGTTGTATATTTGTAAAAAATACATTGTAAGGGGAGGCTTTCACACGTTACTGGGTGGCTCTTGGCTGGGGCTCTGGGTCGGGGGGCAAATGCAGGTGGTCAGGAGGGTGGTCAAGAGCAGGAAGAAATTGCCTTGCGATCCTGGGGTGTTTGGGGGGGAGTGGTCCTCCCCAGGGTCTGGAGGTTCTTCGGCCTCAATAGCAATCTGTTCAAGGAGTGGGATTGCCTATCCCCCCTAGCAAAGGTCACGGTGAAAATGCAGCCCATCCTTGTGCAGGGTGGGTCCCACTTCTGGACACCGGAGTGGACCAGAGCTGGAGCACTTTTTGCCTTGCCCTTCTTCCCCTTCCCAGCAGCGGCTGCGGTGGCCGTGGAGTCGGGTTTCTCGACGGGCCCCAGGCTCCTGGCCCCAGGAACTTTCCTAGGGACGGACATGTGGCTAAGGGTCCCCGAGTCCTTGCCTTCCCCAGAGCCGCGCCGGGTCAGGTGAGGGAGCGCCGTGTGGACCCCTGTCCGCCGGTGACACATCGCCGTGGGCTTCTTGATGGTGGAGCCCTCCACGAGGAGCCGGATACCAATATACTGGGGCACCTCCACGGCGGGCTGTGAGGAAGAGGAGGAGACAAGGCCTACTCGGACAGTGCTGCTGGAATCCAGGGCAGAGATGGATGGAATTCGTTCCTCGGGCACCTAGTCAGGAGACATTTCTGGGCTGAGAAGCAGGAAGCCTATCTCTGTCCGAGGCCCTGGAATTAGTAACCCAGAGGAGTGAGGGGATCTCAGCCACGCCTCCTCTCCACTTCCTTGCCCTCCTAAGCTGCCCTGGCTCCTGCGGGAACATGCATGGCTCTACTCCACAGACCACTGCTGCCGGAAAGCTTCCTGAAAGGAGCTGGCTTCTCTGCAGAGAGAATTTGGAGTTATGACACCCAAACTGGTAAGAGGTTTACACCTCCCCAGAGCCTTACCTGAACCCAAGCTTTGTGGAAGCAGAAACTAAGAGCTTTAAAGAAGGCATTCTGGCCGAAACCAGTTTGACTCAGTGGATAGAGCGTCGGCCTGCGGACTGAAAGGTCCCAGGTTCGATTCCGGTCAGGGGCATGTACCTTGGTTGCAGGCACATCCCCATTGGGGGTGTGTGCAAGAGGCAGCTGATCGATGTTTCTCTCTCATCGATGTTTCTAGCTCTCTATTCCTCTCTCTTCCTCTCTGTAAAAAAAAAAAAAAAAAAAAAAAAAAAAAATCAATAAAATATATTAAAAAAAGAAAAAAGAAAAAGAAGGCATTCTGTGGAGGGAATGAAGTAGCAAATAGGCAGAGGGAGGCAGAGAAATTGCTTCTGTGCAATTTCAGTTCCTATAAAGCCAAGCTGGCCCGGTCAGTGTGGCTCAGTGGTCGAGATCTATGAACCAGGAGATCACAGTCTGATTCCCCATCAGGGCCCACGGACAGGTTGCAGGCTCCATCCCCAGTAGGGAGTGTGCAGAAGGCAGCCGAACAATAATTTCTCTCATCACTGATGTTTCTCTCTCTCCCATTCTGAAATTAATAAAAATAGATTTATTAAAAAAGAAAGAAAAGCCAAGCGTACTGGCTGGGCTCCAGGAGAGCTCCCTGTGTCTTGCTAAGAACCCTTCTCTTAACCCAGAGCTAGGCTGAGGTGTTTTCTGTGTCGTCCAAGGATCCTGATTAGAGTCTATCTAAACAGGGTCATTTGCAGCTTGTTCAAAATCCAGGCCTCAGAGCTCCCAGAAAGCTCAGCTGATGAGGAAAAGTTCATCTTGAAAGAGGAATCTCAGTTAATGTAGAAGGAAAGAGAATTAGAAGCTTACCATTTTGTAACTAATACAAAAGGCAAGAATTAAAGCTGGATATCAAAACAAGTAGTTGAAAAGGATGACAGGGAAATGAGTCATTTGCACAGGACCAAAGTATCACCTTACAAAGTAACTGATCATCGCAAAGGGGAAGCTCCAGCTTACAGTAGAGAGGTCTGGTAGCCACCACCGTCACCCCACGGTCAGGCTTAGCATCACTAATCGCAAGACACTCGGACTCTGTGCCTTGGGACACTGTGTGAAGTACCCAGCATCACCTCTCAGGGGGTCTTGCCAACTTCTAATCTGAACCTCATCAGGCTGTTTGACCTAACTTCTACTTTACAGGACATTCAGATAACAGATGAACAGTTAAAAACCACCCCAAAGAAACAATCAGATAAACCCAGAATGTGGGACAGTTCTACAAAACAATATCCGGTCCCTTCAAAAGGTCCCAAATGGGGGAGGCGGGGTAGCAGTGGGGCTGTTCTAGATTAAAAGAGATTAAAGGCCCTAGTGCATTTGGCCAGTGGATAGAGTGTTGGCTGGTGGATTAAAAGGTCCAGGGTTTGATTCCGGTCAAGGGCACATGCCTGGGTTTCGGGCTTGATCCTCAGTGGGAGGTGTGCAGGAGGCAGCCGGTCAATGATCTCTCATCATTGATGTTTCTATCTCTCCCTCTCCCGTCCTCTCTGAAATTAATATATATTATAAAATATATATATTATATATTTAAATATATTTTTATTGATTTTTTACAGAAAGGAAGGGATAGAGAGTTAGAAAAATCAATGAGAAACATTAATCGGCTGCCTCCTGCACCCCTCACTGGGGATGTGCCCACAACCAAGGTATATATATATCCTTGTCTAGAATCGAACCTGAACCAGAATCAAACTTTCTTTTTTCTTTTCTTTTCTTTTTTTTATTTTTTAACATATTTTATTGATTTTTTTACAGAGAGGAAGGGAGAGGGATAGAGGGTTAGAAACATCGATGAGAGAGGAACATCGATCAGCACACCTCCTACTGGGGATGTGCCCGCAACCGGAATCGAACCCGGGACCCTTAAGTCCACAGACTGATGCTCTATCCACTGAGCCAAACCGGTTTTGGCAAAATATGATAGTAGCATCTCCATCTTACAGATGAGGAAGCAGATGTACTAAGTCACCGGACAGGACCGGGACTTGAACTGGGTCTGTCCACTTGCAGTGTCCTCCGCCGGGCTATGGGGCTAAGGGGAAGGGATGAGATTCCCTGGGGTCACGCCTGGGCCGGGGCACCTCACCTGCTTGTAGATGAGCTCAAAGGCTCCCGTGTCACAGCTCCGGTCCAGCCGCCGGTCAATGACCACACGCAGGGTGTCGGCTTGCACGCCGGCACAGAGCTGGGCGGTGACGGACGTGGAGGGCGCCATGGTGGGGCTGGCATTGATCTCGATCAACCAGGGTTGGAAGTTTTCGCCAAACACAAAGTCAGCGCCGTAAAGCTCAAAGCTGGCCTTCCGACACTGCACCGTGTCCTGGGAGGTCTGCAGGGCATGGATCACCGCGGCCTTCATGCCAGGCACGATGACGCTGGACCAGGCGTGGGGGGCCCCCACGTCCTGCAGGTAGGCCTGGAACTTCTGGCTCGGCCACATGTTGTTTGAGGGCAGCATCGGGTGCCGATGGCACGAGTTCTCCAGGTGCTTCTGGATGGAGTTGTTGCACAGGTGCACGGAGCTGGGGCAGAGAACAAAGCTCAGCTCTGAGCCTCTCGGCCCCTCCCGTCCAAACCTGGGCAGGGCAGGCAGACCCTGGGCCCAGCCCTGGACCATTCCACACTGTGGGACCATTCAACTTGCGATGGTTTCCTGCTCGGGCCCATAACATTCTTCTAGGGCCAGAACCAATTCTCTCTCTCAGGACGCCTTCTGGGGGCATTGATTTACAGGGAACACAATATTAAGTGCTTTGGGCCAGCGTCAGTTAACCCTCCCAGGGCTGGGAGATAAGAAGGTGGGTAAGGGTATGGGCCTTGTGGTCACTAAGGCATGTATGTGCTCAAGCCCTCTCTTCACCACTGACTCGTTGTGAGATGTTTCCTCTCACCCCACACGTTAATGATGCAACTTGCTCTGTTCCTCTCAAATTTCTCCTGACCCCTCTTTACCCTGCTCTCCATTTCTTTTTATTTTTCATATCACCTCTTAGCCCATTAGATGATTTTACTTATTAGGTTCATTGCTTGTCTGTTTCTCCCATTAGACTGTGAACTCCTGAGAGCACGGCTAGGCTCTTGTTTTGTTCACCACTGTGTCCCAAGCGCCTGGAACGGAGAAGGGCACAGGGTACACACTCAGTAAGAATCGGTGGGTGGAAGGATGGTGCGATGGATGGACTGAGGGTCTGCCTGCCTGCGGAGTCTGTGTTCGGAGCCCAGCATTACACGGGAATTGCCTGTTTCTTGCCAGCTTCCCAACTAGACTGGGGGCTCATGGGAGATGGGTGGTGGGGCTCACTTGTCCAGGTTCTTCAGGGAGAAGGGCTGCGTGGAAAAGCGGATGTAGCTGTCGTGGTAGAACCACACGGTAAGTGGATTCCAGTCGGTCACCAGGAACCACTGTCTCAGGTCAAACTTGGTGCCAAAGATGAGCAGGGGCCGCTCGATATACTTCTGCACAACCCACTTGCCATCCTTCACCATCATGGGGTTGCCATCCACCAGTTTCAGAATCTCCTCCAGGTGGTCCATGCACATGATGCCTAAGGGGGGAAATGGAGTGGTCAGGGACCAGGGCAGGCTCTGGCTGGCAGAAGAGCTGGAGACCACAGAGAGCTCACCATAAGCTCTCAGCCCCACAGAAAAGACAGGGCGAGTGGGTAAGGCTGCCAGCCTCAATAAGAACCCTTTGCCTTTGGGAAAGTTGAAAATCTGCTAAGGGCTTAAATATTTTAAAATTAATTCGTTTCACCCTGGTTGGCGTGGCTCAGTTGGTTGGGAGTCATCCCATGCACCAAAAGGTTGCCGGTTTGATTCCCAGCTAGGGCACATGCCCGGGTTGCAGGCTCGTTACCGAGTAGGGAGCATGCAGAAGGCAGCCAACTGATGCTTCACTCTCACATAGATGTTTCTCTCTCTCTCTCTCCTTTCCCCTCTCTCTAAAAACCTATTCAAGTCAGTTATGTTTGAATGAAAAGGAATATATACATGAATAAAATTTCAGACAATACTGCTTTTGGAAAACCATGCACAGCCCTGGAAATGATGTTCAGTGGTTAGAGCGTTAGCCTGTGCAGGGGTGAGGGGGGTTTTGCAGGTCCCTAAGGGGGCTTGTATGGAAGACAACCAATTGATGTGTTTCTTTCTTTCTCTCTCCTTCCTCCTCCTCCCCTTCCACTGTCTCTTTAAAAAAAGAACCAATGGAAAAATATACTCGGGTGAGGATTAACAAAAAATAAATACATACACACACCCACATACTATGTGCATATATGACTTTGATTAGTTTTTTCAACATAATTAACAATATAAAATGAGAAACAAAGTAGACAGTACAAAAGGGTATACAATTAAGAACATCTCCTTCCCCAGAGGTAGCCAACTGCAGCTTTCACGTCCTATGAGTATCCTTCCAGTGTGGGAGAGTCTACTAGTATGTGTGCCTCAGTTTCATGGGATTCTATAAATTTAAATATGTTACGGACATAGAATAGTGCTCCGCACATGGTGAGCTCTCGGTAAATGTTGACTCATACCATTATTATCAGTCACCTGTGAAATGAATTTCTAGCCCTCGATTTGCTGGTACCAAGGTATGTACATTTTTCCATTTTAAATTGCCCAAGATGTTACACTGCTCTGCACTCCAAGCAAGAGTGTATGTCACTGCATTTGCCTGCATCCTACCTAACATTTGTTTTTGCCATTCTCCTGGGTAGAAAATGGTATCTTATTTTAATTGTATCTCTTTTATAACTAGCGAAGTATCTTAGCTTATAAGGCATCATTTTAATGCCGATAAATATCAGAACTGCATTTGCAAACCACACACACGTACACACACTCACAAATCAATCCCATTCTTCATTGTTAGGCCCCCGAACAGCCTGATCTCCTGCCAAGGACACAGAATAATTTGTGACTGGTTCCCAATCTAGATCCTTTCTCAAATGGCTAGACTGATAACCAAGATTCCCCCAAACATGATGCTCTGTGTAAAAAAAGATTAATAGGGATCACCATAGTGGGGAGGTAGAGACTGAGAGGAATTATGGGCATGGTCTCGGTGCAAATGTTTCCTTTCTTCTTTTCTACCTTCCTTTCTATCTTTCTTTCTTCCTTTCTTTCAAAGAGGAAAGACAAAAGAAAGAGAAACATCATTTTGTTTTCCCACTTATTTATGTATTCATCAACTTTTTTAAAAAAATATATCTTATTGCCCTGACCGGTTTGGCTCAGTGGATAGAGCACTGACCTGCAGACTGAAGGGTCCCAGGTTCAATTCCAGTCAGGGACATATACCGTGGTTGCAGGCATATCCCTAATGGGGGGTGTGCAAGAGGCAGCTGATTGATGTTTCTCTCTCATTGATGTTTCTTATTCTCTGTCCCTCTCCCTTCCTCTCTGTGAAAAATCAATAAAATATATTTGAAAGTATATATACATACATATATATTTTTATTGATTTTAGAGAGGAAGGGAGAGGGAGAGAGAGATAGAAACATCAATGATGAGAATCATTGACTGGCTGCCTCCCGCAAGGCCCCCCCACTGGGAACCGAACCAGCAACCCAGGCATGTGCAAACTGAACCCAGACTCTTCAGTCCACAGGCCAATGCTCTATCCACTGAGCCAAACCAGCCAGGGCTATATTCATTGATTGATTCTTTTATGTGCCCTGATGGAGGAATCAGACCCAAAACCTTGGCATATAGGGATGACGCTCTCACCAACTGAGCTACCTGGCCAGGACCAGGTAATGTTTTATTTCATGATCTGGGTGCTCTTTCCTCAACTGCAACAATTCATTGACTTGTATAGTCACAATGTGAGCCCTTTTCAATGAGGCATGTTCTATATACATTTCAATTAAGTTTTTCTAAAAATGAAGAGAGAATTTTTAAATTTGGAGCTAGGTATGTGGGAACTCATTGTGTTATTCTTGCTAGTTGGTGTCCTTTAAAAGTACCCAAAACAATAAGCTAAATTTAAAAGAAAGGCAGATGGAGGTGTTCTAAAATAGGGTGATCTCCAAGATCTACCATTAAGAAGAAACATGCAAAGAATAAATGAGTAATACTAATTCGTACTGAAAGATAAGGAAAAATGAATAGTATGTTTTTGTTTAAAATAAAAGAAATCTCTCTCTCCAAATGCAAAGAGGAAGTATAGGGGGGGAAAAACACATAAAAAGGTTAACAGTAGTTATCTCATGTGTAATCAAGGGTAGCTTTTGATTTTGTCTTTCTACTTTACTGTATTGTCTAATTTCTTAAATATAAAAACAGGTATTTTCATACTTAGAAAAAACCAACAAAACTATATTTCCAGGGTAGAAAAAGAAAGACCACAGTGCTGGTTGAAGTGACATTCCCATGAGAGCGCCCCACAGTTTGGAGCTGTAACAGCTTCACTTGGACGTGAACAAATTCATCCGCGGGCAGTATGTGGAGGGATCTGCCAAAAGTCTGTTTTCTACATCCCAGAAGCGAGTCCTTAACCGGTGTTAAAAGGCTGGGCAAAGGCACAATCCCAAGTGCTGGCTCTCCTGTTCAGGTTCCATTCACAGGGGGCCGCGCAGCCAGAATAATAGCTGAACATAACAGCACTTACATAGCAGTTACTGTGTAAACGCACAGGCCCTAAGTACTTTACATATACGTATTATACTTATCTAATCCTCCCGGGAAGGCATTATTGACTTCATTTTACCAATGATGAAAATGAGGCACGAGAGGTTAACTAACCTGACCAAAACTTTACAAATAGCAGGAGGTAGAGCTGGGGTTTGAACCCAGGCATTCCGGCTCCTAGCATCCATACCCTTAACCACTATGCTATATACCTTACAAGGGTGGTCAGATCCAAGAGCCCTTAGATGACAAGCACCTGCATTTGAGTATCACCAGACCTACCTAAAGCATCATCCCAACTCTGAGGGCAGGAGAGGAGAAGCTGCATCGTCATAGCAACCAGCCTCTGTGAGATGATTACTCTGTGCCAAGCACCAGGCTGAGCCTTAGATGCACTTCATAGGAAGACTCATTCTCTCTCATGGATGAGGGGACTGAGGTTCAGAGAGGTGATGTAACTTGCTCAAGGTCACACCGCACACTGATAGCAGAGCTGGGGTTCACATAGAGGCAGCCTGACTCCAATAGAGTCTGCACTATTGACAGCCTGGCCTCTAGACCAGCGGTCACCAACCGGTGGTCCATGGAGCACAGGTGGTCCGTGGGGTCCGAGAGGTTGGCGACCGCGGCTCCAGAGGGTGAGGCAGGCTGCAGGCGCTGGGGCGGGAAGCAGGGGCCGGCACCCACCTCGGCCGCGGGACTTGGCTCCTGGCTTCACGATCCAGACGTTGCGATCTCCTTCCATGTCCATCTGGGGCACCAAGGCCCGCAGCCGCTGCAGGATGTCCTCACAGCGCTGGATCTGAGCGCTCAGGTGCCTGAGCTCGGCCCCCTCGCTGTTGGGGAGAGAATGGGTCTTGGGCAGGGCTGGGCCCAGGGGCAGCCTGGTGGACAAGGCAGAGGGAGACACAAGCTCCCCTGGCCATGCTCCTACCAGTCTTGGCCGTGCCTTTCCCTCCCTAAAGATCCAGATAGGTCTCTCCCAAACCTCCACACCCACCCTCAAGCTGCCCCCCCACCATGTTCTTATCTACCCAGGGCATCATCCCAGACTGCTGGAAATGGGAAAAGGCACCACTCACTATACCCCACACCCACTCCAAAAACGCCATTTTCTGCCACCTCCCTTTCCGTTACATGGAAGTTGCCTTTGGCAGAATATAACCATACGGCATTTAATGGCGAGGGGCCACTTTGCGCCAGACTTCGTGGCGAAGGGCTTTACATACATCATCACTAATCCTCTCAGGGGCCCTGCCAGGAAGGTATCACTGGTCCCGTTTCAGAGCAGTGTAAACTGAAGCCTGGAGAGTTAAGAGACTTGCCCAAGGTCACACGTTGATTTTTATTTTATTTATTTATTTATTTTATTTATTTTTTTTTTCACACGTTGATTTTTAGTGGCTGAGCCGGGACACAAACACCATCCTGCCTGATTCCTCCATCACAGGTGCTTTTGAGGGTTCATTCCCCTTCTCATCTGGACCTAACACTGGTTGATAGGTGAATCCCTTCCTGGCCTAATTCTTTCCAAGCACATCTGTATCACACATCTCCTCGCTCTATTTCTCTTCTCTTCCTATCACCTACCCGCTGACATCTACACTCATTGGTTACATCTGTCTCCCCTCCATGGCATGTAAGCTCCCTAAGAGCAAGAACATTTATGTAGCTGTTATTCTCGGCTGCATTCCCATCTCCAAGCAGTATACTGGCACTCCCTACAAGTTTGCTAAATGAATGAATGGTTGGATAAGCAAGAACTTTGGCAGGAGCTTGCCTCCTAACTGGTCTGCACAGCCTGGGGTTCACGGACAAAGAGAGACCCTGTTCCCTACAGCAGCAGTCACCAACTGGTGGTCTGTGGACCACTGGTCGTCTGTGAGGTCTGAAAGGTTGGCAAACGCTACCTTACAGGACACAAAATGTCCTAAAATAAACCAAGTCACAGAATACCCCAGCCCGCCGGGACTGGTTTGGCTCAGTGGACAGAGCATCGGCCTGCGGACTGAAAGGTCCCAGGTTCGATTCCGGTCAAGGGCATGTACCTTGGTTGTGGGCACATCCCCAGTGTGGGGGAACGCAAGAGGCAGCTGGTCGATGTTTGTCTCTCATCGACGTTTCTAATTCTCTGTCCCTCTCAATTCCTCTCTGTGTAAAATCAATAAAATATATTAAAAAAAAAACAAAAAAAAAAAAAAATATCCCAGCCGGGTCCGGTTTGGCTCAGTGGATAGAGCGTCGGCCTGCGGGCTGGGGGGTCCCGGGTTCAATTCCAGTCAAGGGCATGTACCTTGGTTGCGGGCACATCCCCAGTAGGGGTGGTGCAAGAGGCAGCTGTTTCTCATCAATGTTTCTGACTCTATCCCTCTCTCTTCCTCTCTGTAAAAAATCAATACAATATATTTTTAAATATATACCCCAGATGGCTGCCTGGCAACTCTCCCATTTCTCCTCCTCTGAGTAGGAGGAGGAAGCCTCCTTTAACCCCTTGGCCTCTTGCATGTCTCCAGCCGTGGAGACCTTATCTTTCCACAGGGAGGCAGCAGCAACCCTGGGGCGGAGCCGGGCCAGGGGCAGCCTGATGGAAAGGGCACAGCAGGGCCTCTCAGTCACATCGAAGTCCTGACCCCTCCGCTTCTAGAAGGTCTGCTGGAACTTTCCCATGGGCCGTCTCACAGAAAATCTGTGCTGTGGCCCAGAAAACTGTCACATGAGAAGGGCAGGGGCACGTGTAATTTGAAAAAAGTATGTTCAACACGACAATATGATTTTATATTTAGTAAAAAGAAAACAACCAGTGTGTTTGTGGAAAGTCAACCTTAATAAAAACCTGACTGCTGAGTCAAGGATTTGTTTTAAAAATGAAGAAACACAGCCGAGGCCTGTTTGGCTCAGTGGATAGAGCGTCGGCCTGCGGACTGAAAGGTTCCAGGTTCAATTCCGGTTGAGGGCATGTACATTGGTTGCGGACACATCTCCAGTAGGGGGTGTGCAGGAGACAGCTGATCGATGTCTCTCTCTCATCGATGTTTCTAGCTCTCTATCCCTCTCCCTTCCTCTCTGTAAAAAATCAATAAAGTATATTAAAAAAAAATAAAAAGTGTTTCTAAAAAAGAAAGAAAGAAAGAAACACAGACAACAGCATGGTGATTACTAGAGGAAAAGGGGGTTGGGATTGAAGAGATAAGGGGGAGGGGGCAAGTTGAAAAACATAACAGTTAATGTTGAATGAATTAATGAATGCTAACTATCTGTACTGAACAACTCAACACTACGTTATACAATGCAATATTTCATGAAATTCTGACTTTTGAGAGATTCCTTCAGTCCTCTTAGAACTTGTCCTATACCCGGAAATAAATAAGGCTCAAATTATTTTCACGTAATGTTCTAACGCAGGCTCAGTAATTCTTAGTTTAAGAAGGGTGACTTTACATGTTCTGGTAGCTAAGATGGGAGTATAGGGTAAATTTCACTTTCTGACATTCAAAGAAGATACAAATGAATTATTTACCAATGATGTGGGTTTGCTCAGTATGTCATTTATTTAAAGTTCATTTATTAGTTCTTCACTCTCCTCTAGCAAATCATCCTTTTCTATTAGCCCCACCCCAGCTGAGGCCGTCATCGCTCCCATTTGAGTCTGTGTTCCTTGAGGGAAGGGACTATGTGTCATTTCTGGAGCCTGGCACAATACTTGGCACACAAGCTGGGTGTTCTCCTGCCCTGAGGAACTTCTCCCTCCTGTCTCTCCTGCACTCAGCCACTGATTGGAATCAGTTACCGTGTCATCTCCACACTCCTTTCCTCTGCTCAAGAACCCTTTTCCGCCCTGGCAGGTGCCTCAGTGGTTAGAGCATCGGCCCAAACACTGAAGGGTCTCGGGATTAATTCCTGGTCAAGGACACACACAGATGCAGAAGACAACCAATCGATATGTTTCTCTCTTCTCCTCCTTCCCTTCCTTCCACTTTCTCTAAAAAAATAAAAATTTAAAAAAATTTAAAAAAAAGGGGGGAAATTAATGGAAAAAATATCCTTGGGTAAGGATTAACAACAACTACTACAAAAAAAAACTCTTTCCCAAAGTGGGTTCTGAAAACACAACCCCTCAGGATGCTTGGGGGGGAGGGGGGAGGATGCCACTAGGGTCATATAAGTAAGAATATAGAGTAAACCCTTAACATTGTCGATAAATTCTGCAACTAAGTGAAACGACATGCAACAAAACAATTTTACATAGGCTAATTGATATAAACAAAAGTTAAGTTTTATAGCATCTCATCATCATTATAACAAAACAGTTATTTGAGGACCTACTGTATTGCATTCTCTCTCTCTCTCCCCCTCTTCCCCACCCCCTGAGGTATATACACTAATATATTCTGAAAGGCCCTGCACCAAGGAAACCTGTTTTAATGAACTCTGTTTAACCCAATGTTTTCCAAATACTAGTATGATTAACCACAAAAGCCCTCCCTTCCTCCCCCGACCCCAACAAAATAAATTTACGTTCTATAGAATTAGCATCCTATGTAACACACTTTCAGAAACGTTAGTCTCTAGGACAAAATCTAAATGACTAAGTAGATTCTTGTTTTGTGAGTGAATACTGAGTCTACGCTAAGCACAGGATACAAATTATCCTATTGAATCCTACCTTTTGAGGAAGATATTATCCTAACTACTTTGTATTTGAGAAAAAGCTCAAAAAGACTAGTGATATTCCCAAGGTCACAGAGCTAGGACTGGAAGTGAGGCTGACCTGATAGCACAGGCCACGATCTTGGTGACTGTGCTAGGCCAAGATCCAGGAAGAATGCTTTGCACCCAGTCATGGAGGTAGTGGGAGCCCTGAAGAGTTCTTGAGCAGGAAAATACAGGGGGAACAAAAGAGGGAGGCTTAGGGAGGAGGTGCAGGGCTACACTACAAAGAGAGGGTTTGGCTGAAACAGGTTTGGCTCAGTGGATAGAGCGTCAGCCTGAGGACTGAAAGGTCCCAGGTTCGATTCCGATCAAGGGCATATACCTTGGTTGCAGGCACATCCCCAGTAAGGGACGTGCAAGAGGCAGCTGATCGATGACTCTCTCTCATCGATGTTCCCTCTCTCTTCCTCTCTGTTAAAAATCAATAAAATATATATTTTTTTTAAAAAGAGAGAGGTTTGTCTCTGACTGAGCATAGCTTAGAACATGGAGGCGCCCTGCAGCAAGGGGCACCTGGCCATGCCCCACGCCCTGGTGCAGGGTACTCACTGGACCACCTGGTAGTAGCGCCGTAGGAAGAGGGACCGGCTCTCAGGGCTGAGGGACAGCGGGGCCTCCGGGTCCCGGTCAATGTCCAGGTGGGCCAGGTTGTTCAGGTGCTCCTCGCAGGTGCACAGAGCCTCGTCCACAAACTCTGGGGTCACCGTCATTGGTTTTTTCTCCTGTTTCTTGTGCTGCTCATCTGCTGCAGAGGGAGGGAGGGAGGGGCTTGTCACTCTCTGACAGGTAACCTGACACATGCCATGGCATCCATGGCTCCAACACCTGTCACTTACTGGGAGACTCATCCTAAATACACCTGAGGCCCAGCACACACTTACATCTCTTCCTGCCCTGGAACATGCTACTTACCTGAGGCTTTATGCTAAATTCACCTGAGACCTAGTGCTTGCCCTAGTTCCCCAGGGCCCCAGGACCTGTCACTCACTTGAGGGTCCACCTTAACAGTGCCCAAGGGCCTCTCAGCACCTATAGCTCCAAACACATGCAGTCTCTGCTTGTGGGACCTCTGACACACTGTGGTCCTTTGTACCCCTGATCCTGGCATACAACAGTCTTCTCTGCACCTGACACACCTAGGGAGCTGCAATGGGAAGGCCTCCCTCTGGAAGAGACAGGGATTTCCCATCTCCCAGCAGACCTGCCTCTTATGTCCCTGAATCCTTGGCTGATAGGTCCTGGATTACAGTATGGGATAGGAGCTAAGTCCAGAGAGAGAAAGGCAAGTAATAGGTTGAGCCAGCATGGAATGTGACACCCTCTCTGTCCCCTCCACAAGGTACTAGGGGTCCTCAGACCATATGAAAAATCTACAGTTTCACTGTCCTCTTAGTCTGTCATTGCTAGAGAGCTGGCTACATGCCAGGCCCATGGGAGGGCTGAATGAGGCAGTGGATCAATTAACAAATGGATAGGAAGAGGTATGGGTATGGGTTGGGACAGAAGAATGGATGAGTGATGGATTGGAGCGCACACAGGTGATGGATAGGATGGAAAAGCAAGTGGATAGATGGGAAGAACAGGTAGGAAGGTGGAGGAGTGGAGAGATGGATAGGAAATGTGTTGCTGAGAAGGTAGGTGAATGAGTAGATCAATAGGGTGGGGAGAGATGGAGAGATGGATGGATGAATGGCTGCATTGGTAGGTGAATGTGAAATCGGTGGGTGTGTGGGTGAGCAGGTAGACAGATGAGTAGATGGATGAAAGGATGGATGGTGGGTAGATATATGGATGGGTTGGTGGGAAAGGGTAGTAGATGGGCAGATGGGTGTGGATAATATAGGTAATTTATATAGATAATGTGTGGATGAATAATGAGTTGATGGGTGGGTGTATGGGAGGATTAATGGGGGAGGAAGTAGAGGGAATCACACAGTATTTACCTGGGGCCTCTTCCTCTTTTGCGTGGATAGAGCATGACTTCCATTCGGACTTTACCACCAGCTTGAGAACGTTGCGGGCAGCTGTCAACCAGAAGTCCTCTGCTCCCAGGGCAGGAGATACTCCGCTCAGCCTGAGGCTCCAGGCCTATTCTGGTTCTGGAACCTGATCATGACCTGCCCCATTTTGGATCCAGAACCTGACTACCTTCTGACTCTAGAACCTGGCTCCTATTTCAACTATAGAACCACACTCAGAATCTGACCTGACTTGGCCCATATTCTGCCTTAAGAATCTTACCTATGCCCAGTCGGCATGGCTCAGTGCTTGAGCATCGACCTATGAACCATGGGGTCATAGTTTTATTCTGGTCAGGGCAAATGCCAGGGTTGCAAGCTCAATCTCTTATGGGGCATGCAGGATGAAGTTGATCAATGATTCTCTCTCATCGTTGATATTTCTCTCTCTCCCCCCCCCCTTTCCTCTCTGAAATCAATAATAGATATAGATATAGCTATATAGATATATATGAAGAATCTCCTCCCCTCCTCCCCAACAAAAAATGAAGATTCTCATCCAGACCTGTTGCCCAATTTTTCTCTCCTGTTCCTGATAGATTCTTGATACTTATTCTAGTCTGAGAACCAAACCTTGGTCTGGAGACTAACTTAAACCTACCATCAACTTATCTACTCTGACCTGAATTTAGAACATGTTCTGGAGTTGGGAACTATTCTGCCTTAGAAGTCCAAAGTCTTTTCTGGATTAAGAACCCAGTCTAGCCAGTGGAATTTCACACAGGCTTGAAACGCAAACTCAGCCCACCAATCAACTTTTAGAACCTGCTCTAGAATATAAGCTAAGCTAACTGAGATCTTCAGAAGGTCTGGGCTTACCAAGCCAGGAGGCTCACTAAGGGAGGCACCTTAGGGAAAGATAAGAATTAGGGATGGAGAAGGAATTCTGTTGGGGTGGGCAAGAGAATGAAGAGAGAAGCCCTTTGCTCTCTAACACCAGCCAGGGCTTTAGCCTTCATGCTCAGCTGGACGGGTCCAGGCACAGGGCTGGGCATCTGCTTACCTATGAAGGCCTTTTTGTCTTCCACAGCCCCCAGGTGGTAGCAGCGTGGGAAGAAGGAGTCAGCATCAGCCTTGTCAAACCATGGCAAATTCCGGAGATTGAGACATAGACCCACCTATGGAATTAGCTGATGAGGGGGCAGGGTGGGACTTTCCCAGAGAACCTCACAGGGGCTCCCATCCTCGGCACATGCCCAAACAGTTCAGGCAGACTCTACCTGGACATTCTCAGAGCCTCTGCCCACTTGCTAGGCCTGATTCGCTCATATCTCCATATAGTTGCCCACACAGTCCCTCTGCCGAGAATGCCCCACATCCCTCTGACCCACCCTTCCACATGCTTCCTCTAGGAATCCTTCCCAATCCACACCAAAAAATACACTAATAGGTCCCAATTATAAAGACTTCATTCTTGTCACAATCCTAGAAGCTAGTATTACTGGTATTCTCATTTAAAGATGAGGAAACTGAGGCTCAGAGAGGTGAAGTCACTTGTTAATAAACCCAGGTGAGATAGAATGGATTCATCAGCCAGATATCCTCTGCTAAGGAGATAAGGGCCCTCTTGCTCAGTCCTTGGACTTGGTGTTTGTTCTGGCTCCAGATCCCATTGGAATCCTATTTTAATCAATGTCTACATGTGCCAGACATGCTGCAGAGTTTGGATTTGAACTCAGGACTGTCCATCTCCAAATTCCACTGAATTGTATAACAAGCTCCTCCTGAGAACTCTCTCTTACTGACAAGGAGAACAGGGAACTGGGGTGCTAGCCCAAGGGCTGGGGGGGGGGGTGTTGGAAACTGTAATGCCTGCTGTCCTGGTGAGCCCACCTTTGTGGTAAAGGAGCCAGCCCGGGCATAGTGGTTTATCATCTGATCCTTGGAGAGGAAGCGGCAGTCCAGCACATCCCGCCGAGTGGTCCAGATGAAGTAGGGGATCTCATTCCGAACCATGCGGGACTGGGGAGAGAAGACATGGGAGGCTGGTGTGGGCAGCACAAGGCCTGAGAGGCTTCTCCCTGCCCTGCAGGGCAGGGTGAGTGAGCGGAGAGGATACTTCCAAGGTGGCCTCTAGCCCACATACCATCTTTGTGTAAATTAAAAAAGAACAGCCAAAACCGGTTTGGCTCAGTGGATAGAACGTTGGCCTTCGGACTGAAAGGTCCCAGATTTGATTCCGGTCAGGGGCCTGTACTTTGGTTGCAGGCACATCCCCAGTGGGTGTGTGTGTGTGGCAGCTGATTAATGTTTCTCTCTCATCGATGTTTCTAACTCTCGATCTCTCTCCCTTCCTTTCTGTAAAAAATCAATTAAAAAAAAAATATATATATATATATAAAGAACAGCTCTTCCACCAGGGCACAAACTTGGTGAGCAGGGAGCAGACAGGCTTGCAAATTCTGTGGCCAAGTACCTCTAGGCAGTGACTAAGCCATACAGCTGAACACCATGCCTTGTTCTGGCCCGTGACCATCATGGATTGCTCAGAGACAGGACAGTGACTCTAAGCGGATGGGCACATAGCATGTGACAAAGGCTCTCCATCTATCTTTCCTACAACTCTGAGAGGTAGGGTTATTAATAAGCAATAAGACCACATGCTAGACCATGTTCTCAGTACTTTCCATGTCCTCTCATTTAATCCTCACCAGACCCCTATGAGGCAGATGTTACTGTGGTTCCCATGTCACAAATGAGGGAACTGAGGCACAGGAAGAGTAAGGGACTTGTCCAAGGGCTGCCAGGGTTGAGCCATATGAAACTGAGAATACTCAACCTTTCCTGACATACAAAAATGGCAATTTGGTATAATTCAATTTAGTAAGTGGTGGTGGAAAGACTCGAAGCCGAGTGTCCTCACCTCCACACACAAATCCTCCACACCATCACACCAGCCTCTTTCCAAGCTTTTTAATTTTTTTTTAAATTAAATTATTATCTTTGTACATATCTTTCCAAGCTTTTTAAGCCATTTCTTCCAGCCTTGGATTGCCAAGGGCAGAGGAAAGAGATGAACTATGTGGCTTTTATTTGGAAGGGGGAATTCTAGACATGGAGTTTGTGCCAGCTTCTGATACAATCTTAGCTGAGTTCTGATCCCAGGCTAGCCTTGTCTGAGCACCACTGTGTCCCTCACGACTCTGCTGGCCCATCCAAACTTTAGAGAAGTTTTATTGCATATGGGGAAACTGAGGCTCAGAGAAGGAAAGGACTTGTCTGGGGTCATCCAGCTGGACTCTAATGCTCTCCCTCCAACTAAGCAGACCCCTGCCAGCCCCTTAGCCCTCACCATCACAGCATGTGTACCATCTAGGTCATCCAATTCCGGTGCATCATCGCTGAAGGGTTGTGGTTGCTGGAACTCCTCGTCCTCATCTTGATCATCTGCAAATGCAGAGAGAGCTCAGGCCTGGTGAGGCCCCTGTCCCCGCCCCATAGGCCCATGCCAAAGCCTCAACAGTGGATGCCAAAGGAAAGCCACTTGAGAGAGGCAGCTTGTGGAAACGGAGGGAACTGCTCACCATCCTCAGTGATGTCGCCATCACCCGTTACTGAGCTAGTCAGACGCTTCTGGGATGACAGTAGGTTGGTGCCTGATGAATGGACCATCTTCTTCTCCACCCAGCCCCTGCGGCGCAGGAGGCACCGGATCACCGGGTAGTGGCCTTGGATCATAAAGATCTTCTTCTGCTATAAGGTGACAGAGGGATTCTTGCTCAGTAAGTACTGCCTATGTGCCAGACATAGGGAATGGTGAACCAGAACTCAGTTATTCTAGTAGAGGAGACAGATTATAAACAAGTAGATATATAAATATGGTTGTATCAGAAGCTGGCATAATTTTGACTACAATATTATGATAATAGTACTTATTGAATACCTATGTGTGTGTGTGTGTATATATATATATTTATGCCTTAGCAACTGTCGCAACCCAATGGATGAGAACAGGTTGTGTGGGGCGGCCAGGTTGGCAGGGGGGTTAGTGAGGGACGACCAAATGACTGAACAGCAGGCTGTGTGGGGCAACCAGGTCAGCATGGGGGGGATAGTTGGGGGCAATCAGACTGACTGGAGGTGGGGGGAAGAACAGTTGGGGGCAATCAGTTCAGCAGGCGGATGCAGTTAGGGGTGATCAGACCAGCAGGGGGTCAGTTAGGGATAACCAGGCCGGCAGGGGGGACAGTAAGGAGCAATCAGGCCAGTAGGCTGAGGAGGTTACAGGTGATCAGGCTGGCAGGGGGGACAGTTAGGGGAGATCAGGCAGGAAGACAGGTAAGCGGTTAGGAGCCAGTGGTTCAGGATTGTGAGAGGGTGCAGGCTGGCCTGAGGGGACCCTCCCCCACGAAATTCGTGCACGGGGTCTCTGTTAAAAATGCATGTTATTGTTAGTAATATATATAATCAGTTTTAACTGATTATGAAACAGAGGCATAGAGAGATTGAATAGCTTGGCCACACAGTAATTAAAAGAAAAAGTAGGAATTTAAATCCAGGCTGCCTGACTCCAAAAACTGGATACTTAATGGGGATCCCAAGAAACTAGAAATACAAAGTCAGGGATATGGAGAAGGAGTCGCAGATTAAAAGCTGGACAAATGGCAATTCGGACAAAGGGAAAAGCAAGTACAAAGGTCTTGAGGCTGGAGGGAGGTCTAGAGGGATTGAAAGGGGGCCAGGGTTAGAGTGGAAATGACGGGAGAGCTCCTGCAGGCCTTGGAAACTGTCTCGAATTTTATATCAACAGCAAAGCACTAAAGGCTAAGCGAGGGCATGCTGTGACTGGAGGCTTTCAAAGGTTGGCTAGCTGCTGTCTGGAGACTAGATGGAAGAGACAAGGGTGGAAGTAGGGAGGTCAATTATCAGGCTGTTGAGGTTTATGTAGGAGAGAAATCACGGTAACTAGAATGAGGGTGGCTACAATGGAGAAGGGAAGGTAATAGAATTGGGATTTGTTCTGGGAATATAGGTGACTGGTTTTGCTGATGGGAATAGATGTGTGGGTGAGTGGACAGAAAGATCAGTTTTCTGGCTTGAGCAACTAGGAGATGGGGAAGACCAGAGACTAATGATGACTGGGTATCAAGGGCACGGTTTGGGATATGGAAATGATAGTAAGTTCTCTGGATGGAGATGTCAAGTAAACGGCTGGTGTACAGGTAGAGCATAGGCTGGGCAGGAAAGGGCATGCAGGGGGCACAGCACTCTGTCTGGACCCACAGCCAAGGAGATGGGTGTGGGGAGGGGTCCAGGGAACCACTAAAGTCCCAGGCACCTTCAAAGCAGCAGCCAGGGAGGGAGAAGGAAATCCTGGGTGTGAGCAGAGAGCCAAGAGGAAAGGGTGTGTGGGGCGGCGGTGCAGTGACACAGGGTGCCCAGCCAAGACCGGGACAGAAAAGGGGCTGCTCCTGGGGCTTCCCTAGTGACTTTGACTAGGTTCTCCGAAGGAAGTGGAAGAGGTTGCAGAAACATGCCAAAACCGGTTTGGCTCAGTGGTAGAGTGTTGGTCTGCGGACTGAAAGGTCCCAGGTTCGATTCCAGTCAAAGGCATGTACATTGGTTGCAGGCACATCCCCGGTAGGGGTTGTGCAAGAGGCAGCTGGTCAATGTTTCTCTCTCATTGATGTTTCTAGCTCTCTATCGCTCTCTCCTCCTCTCTGTAAAAAATTAATAAAATATAAAGAAGAAAAAAGAAAAGGTTGCAGAAACAGAGAGGTAGGAGTTGAGGGATGAATCCTGGGTAAAGTAGACAAGTCTGCTAAATGAAGGGGTATCAAAAATAGGGAGGGCCTTGCCAAAACCGGTTTTGCTCAGTGGATAGAGCCTCGGCCTGAGGACTGAAAGGTCATAGGTTCGATTCCAGTCAAGGGCATGTACCCTGGATGCAGGCACATCCCCAGTAGGGGGTGTGCTGGAGGCAGCTGATCAATGTTTCTAACTATCTCCCTTCCTCTCTGTAAAAAAATCAATAAAATATAAAATAAAAAAAAATAGAAAGGGCCCTAGCTGGTTTGGCTCAGTGGATAGAATGTCCGACTGTGGACTGAAGGGTCCCGGGTTTGATTCAGGTCAAGAACACATGCCCGGATTGTGGGTTGTGGGCTCCAGCCCCAAGTGGCATGCAGGAGGCAGCCAATGATTCTATCATTAATGTTTCTTTCTCTCTCTCCCTTCCTCTCCAAAATCAATAAAAATACATTTTTTAAAAAAGTTTTTAATAGGGAGGTATTTGCAGATGCGGGATAGAAGGGGTCAAGAGAGGACAAAGAGGGCATCTGTAATACTTCCAACAATAAAGATAAACTTTGAAAAAAAAATAGGGAGGTATTTGAAGATGGGTGTGGAATCAAGGAGTTTGTTTTTTAAGGATGGAATACATTAGCTCAGGGGGGCAGACTGTGCCATTCTAGCACCCTCCCTCCTTCCCTAAGCCCCCTCTGACCTTGACAGCTCTCTCCACATGGATCTTGGCATTTCTGAGCCGGCCCATGTGCGGAGACTCCTTGGACACTCCCTGCCAGAGGACCAGGGAACCTGCGGAGAGAGGAGGAGTGGGGCTCAGCAGAGCATCTCTCCTGGCCACCGATGCCCATGCTCCTGCTCCTTCTCTTCCTCTACCCTTCTCTATCGGGTGCCAACCCCCTATCGCTCTTCTCCCGACCCTCATTCCCTCCACCCAGTCTTCTCTCCCCCGTCAGTCACTACCGCCTCGGGCCAGGGTGGGCTGACCCCGATGGGCCTCACCGTCCTGCAGCGGGGCATCAAGGGCCGGGGTGTGCGGGGGCCCGAGGGGGCGCAGAGCTGCGGCGTCCTGGGCGGGAGGGCCGCGGGCGAGCGACTGGATGGCGCGGCTGCCAGCCAGGCTTTTGCCCCCAGCGCGAGCCCGGCTGGACCGGGCGGAGGCGGGTCTGGGCCATGGCTGCTTCTTTGGAGGCAGAAACTCCGGGAGGCGTGCCCAGGACCACGGGACGGGGTAACTAGGGCGCGGTTCGGGCGGCTGCGGCGGCCATTTGCAGACCCAGCCGCCCTCCAGGCGGCACCAGGCGGTGGAGCACGGGCGTCGGACGCTCAGCTCCCCGGCGCTCCGGACCAGTGCCGCCCGCGGACCCTGCATGCGCCTCACCGCGCTCCCGCGCCCTCCCGCAGCCCCACATTCCGAGGCTCCGCCCTGTTTATTGTCGCCTTGGAAACCATTGATTGCCACAATCGGGCCGCGGTGGGCTGGTTCCAGCAGGTGAACTCTTGAGTTTCACCTGCCCAGCGCTCGTGATGAGCCAAAGCACTGATGGCGGAAGCGCGCAGCACCGGGTTGCCAATTGCTATCCGTGCCAAGGTTTCTCACTGAGCACTTCCTGGGGCTTCAGTCATACCACAGTATTTATAGAGGACCACGTGCTAGGCAGTGGGCTAGGCGATCCCTGACCTTATGAAGTTTATAGAACCCAGTGGAGAGGAAACAAAAAGTAAGCAACAAAGGTATAGAACAGCTCTAAGTATGGTAAGGGCAATGAGCTAAAGTCAGGGAAGTGGCATAGTTTGGGTAAGGCAGTCAAGGGTGTTCTCTGAAGAGTTGACACTGAAGCCAAAGCTTTACAGAATGCAAAGGTCAGGAGTTGGCCAGGGAAGAGGGGAGAAAGAGCATTCCAGGGAGAGGCAAGTCTCAGCAACAGCCCTGAGGAGGGTAAGAACCTTTCTGGGGAACTAAAAGGCAGCCAATGTGGCTGGAGCCTGGTGAGGTGGGATTGCATCTGCAGGGCCTGACAGATGGGGCTAGGAGCAGGTCCTTGGGGACAGATGTAAAAGACCTAAATGCAGGAAACAATGATCAAGTATAGAACACCCCCCCCCCCCCCACTGGGCCCATAACATGGAGATACAAAAACAAATCATCATTGTCAACTACAGGAAAAAATGTAACTGAATTTATGCACAGCTCTCAAGACAAGACTAAGCAACCTTTTTGGAGGTGGTGACAAAGTAGTATCTTCAGACCACAGGTGAGATAAATAAGACTCCAAGATGTTATATAATTTGCCTCATCACACAGAGCCAGCACTGGAACCCAGATCTGACTCCAAGGCCCCATGTTTAAACATAAACACTATTAACATGAGCCCATGTTATTACTCAAAGGGTTGTCTACTGGTCATGGAAATATGGGTAATTTGAGAGGCAAACTAGCAGTGCCCATTTAAGTAAACCACAGGGAAGAGTACCTAGGTCCAAAAAGCCAGCTTTGTGTTGTCTCTGGCTACATCTGCCCATTCAGTGAAGGTGGGTCCTCCACCTACATGTCCAGCCAACCCCAACCACTCAGATCACTCTTCCCAACCCCCCATTGTCTGGTGACTGGGCTTCCCAAAAGACATGTCCCCAGGACAGGGCCAGCTTAGTGGAAATCACCCCATCTGTTCTCATCAGGGAGCAAATTTGGTTTTAGGGGTTCCAGATCAGAGGAGATGGATCCATGGTGAGAGTTCTGGCTGGCTCACCCAGGCAATGCCGTCCTGTAAGTGCTGGGTAAGCAGCTGCCATACCTATAGTGGGTATCTTCACTGTGAGCACCTTTAACATTCACTGCAAAGCTAGAACACAGCCTTGTGCCCCAGAGAAGGGCACACCTCATTCTGCAAGGCGGGAGGAAGAGGTCACAGAGGTAAGTCATAAAGGGGATGATAGCTCTCCAAGTTGCCCCCAGCCTCAGCCCTTCCTCCCTTTATCATCACCTTGTCCTCTACTTCAAGAGAACTGTTGGCCATCTAGAACGCTTTTGAAAGCTCAGCTCAAAGGTCTACCCTTGACACTCTTCCTGATATCTTTCTCCATAAATATATGCCCTGTGGGCCCCAAGACTTACACTAGTGAATATGAAACACTTCTGCACATGTATTCACACACCTGGCTTTTACTAGTCCCCCAAATCTCTCCAAGGCAGGGATGTCATCGCCCATGCCTAGCATGATGGAAGTTACCTGCTTTATCAGCTTGCATAGTGGGCTGGTGGAAAGATCAGCTATTGTTTTTTTAGTACTGGTATAGCAGGTACTATGTGAGATGGTTTACATTAATTATCTCTACTTTATAATTTACTCAAATTCAGCAAGAGTTGGGACTCATGCCAGGCTGGTATAGCTCAGCGGTTGAGCGCCATGCCAGGAACCAAGAGGCCCCAAGTTCGGTTTCCAGTCAGGGCACATGTCCATGTTACAGGCTCCATCCCCTGTGGGGGGGAGGGGCGTGCAGGATGCAGCTGATTGATGTTTCTCTCTTGTGGATGCTTCTAACACTCTCATTTCCTAATAAAATCAATAAAACATATTTAAGAGTTGGGACTCAAATATAAGCATTCCTGTTTGAGGTTTCTCCAAGTCCAGCACTGTCCAAACAAGAGCTTTCTGTGATCATGGAAATGTTCTACATATGTACCATCTGACATGATAGGCATCAGTCACTGGTAGCTTTTGAGCACTTGTAATGTTGTTGATGGGACCACGTGAGTAAATCTTAAACCTTATTTGGTTTGAGTAATTTAAATGTAAATAACCACACATTGCTACAGAGTACTGTCTTAGCATTGGCAGAGGCAGAAGTCTTGGATTTGAAGTCTACCCTCTTGCTCACTGGCTAAATTTGGGGCAAGCTGCTGTATCTCATGGAACCTGTTTCCTTAGCCATAAAATGGGACCGCTGTCTCTACGAGGTTGGCTTTTAGCCCAAATGAGCTCATTAGGCAAAAAAGGACCAAAGCTCTTTATAGGTAGAGGTAAGTTTTTAAAATGGGTGGTGCCTAGACTGCAATGGAAGTCTCTGGATTAGGGCCCTAGGCAGGGATGTCAGGAACCATCATAAGATTGCCTCTGGTGGTGATCCCACACCCAAGTACCAGTCACCTGGTCTTAGAAAAGAAAAAGCCCCACCTTCTCACTTTTCACATATGCAGACAGAGCTCAGACCTCATGCAGCCCCAAAGGGGCAAGAAAAAGAGTTTAATCAGGGGGGGGGGGGGAACCCACCAGAATAAGAAAAGGTACAGCGAGCATGGGAGCAGAGAAGCCAGAGCAGGTGGGAAGGCCCAGCCAGGAATCTGGTAAAGACTCACCTCTCCACCTCCAGCACAGGCACTGCACTGACAGACAAGGCAAAACAGTGGCCCCTCTCAGCTGGGAGGCCTTCAAGTGGCCCCTGTGGCCAGAGATTGCCTGGCTTTCTGGCTCCAGCTCTTAGGCATGGCTGGTGACCATTGGTTCAGCCCTTGTCCCCAACCAGTGCTGAGTGGCTAGTTTTAGGCAGAGCTCAGGAAGCTGGCCACTGCTTCTACTGGACCCAAGGAGGCTTGAGGATAAGAGCGCAAGGGAGAGGGACTGAAGTCTTAAACCTCCCTCCCTCCCTCCCCAATGGGGTGACTTGGGGGAGGAACAGTAGTCGCTTTCTGGCTCCAGGCCCGCCCAGACCCACAGCGACCAATAAGGTACAATCACTGGGACCAGTCACAGCCACTGGAGGTGGAGGTTACTTGTTTTAAAAAAAGACAAAAAGGTTACAGTCTCCTACAAGCACAGTTTTAAGTTTCAAGACACTAAAAAAAAAAATCTGTCCGCCCAGGGGACTGAATATCAGAAGCCAGCCTGACCAGGCACGTGTTGCCTTGGGGCAAGTTCACTGCTGCTCTGTCACCAGCTAGCAAGCACACCACCCCCCCTCCCGCATTTAATGCCCACCCCAACCCAGTTCCCCTCCTCTGCTTCTGCTGTCGCTCTGAGAAGTGACTCCAGGACGCCTTTGCAGAGACACAGGAGATTCTGAGGGGGAAGGCCACGAGATCCAGCCAGATGTTAAAACTGTCAAGAAAACAAAGAAATGGTGAATGATGGTCACTGCTATATTCCAGTAGGCCTGCTGGGGGGGGGGGGGGGGGGGGCGGATAAGGGAGGCTGAAATGAGAGCCACTGCGCTCAGACCTGAGGGGACTGGATTGGGTCCCAGGACATCTCCGTGGGCATGCTCTTCCTAGTGATCTTTGGGACACTGGTCCTAAACCTAGCACTAGACAAAGCAGAGAAATTAAAGGTGGTATGGGCTTTTCCACAGCTCCTTTTAGCCATGTCTCAGAGGCGGCTATAAAGCACTGTCACAGCAACTTTCTTCTTTAGAGATGCGAGGGCTTGGGGACCCAGAAGGCTCAAGCTCTGTGTGGTCTTCCAACCTAGGTCAGGCCCTTGACAAGTTTTCTGCCATCAAGTATCCCTCATGGTGCCAAGAACAGCCCTGGACATGTACAGACCAGAGGTTGTAAACCAATGAATGAATGGCTAAGACCCAAAATGAGCCCATAGAGTAGGGGTGTCGAACTCAATCAGAGAAGGGACCAAAATCTAAAATCCAGCCTAAATCGCGGGCCGAATGGTTTACTGAACAGTCATAAACTGTCATTGTGATGGAAACGCAGTGGAGTGCAGTGATGACAGCGCGGTGCGGGCCACATTGCAAGGCCTGGCGGGGCGGATTTGGCCCGCGGGCCTTGTGTTTGACACATGTGCCATAGAGTGTTTAAAAGAATATGACTTAGTTGCCAACTTTGAAAATATAGGAGACTATGGATATTAATCCAGACTTTGGGATTCTTTTTTAATTTTTTATTTTTTTGGTGGCAATTTAATAAAGAACAAGTACAGATTCCCACATGGGGAGGGGGAGAGAGTCCCTTTTATTATTTTTAAAAAATATACTTTTAGCCAAAACCGGTTTGGCTCAGTGGATAGAATGTCGGTCTGCGGACTGAAAGGTCCCAGGTTCAATTTTGGTCAAGGGCATGTTTCTTGTTTGCGGGCACAACCCCGGTAGGGGGTGTGCAGGAGGCAGCTGGTCGATGTTTCTCTCTCATCGACCTTTCTAGCTCTCTATCCCTCTTCCTTCCTCTCTGTGGAAAATCAATAAAATATATTTAAATAAATATAAATATATTTTTTAATAAAATATACTTTTATTGATTACAGAGAGGAAAGGGGATGGAGAGATAAATAGGAACATCAATGATGAGAGAGAATTATGGTTCAGCTGCTTCCTGCGTGCCCCGCACTGGGGATTGAGGCTGCAACCCGGGCATGTGCCCTGACTGCGAATCAAACCATGACCTCTTGGTTCATAGGCTGATGCTCAATCACTGAGCCACGATGACTGGGCAAGACTTGGGAATTTTTTTGAAAGCTATAAGATGAACCTGTGTGATGATCCTCTTCAGGTGAGGCATGAGTTCACTAAGACCTTACACAACCCACTTCACTCATGTACATTACCTGCCTGACCTCTGCATACCCCTGCCAGATCCCGAAGTACTATTCTATCGATAGGATCTTTGAGTGTGAAAATTAGCTCCTGGGCAGGTGATTTTAAAATATATATTTTATTGATTTCAGAGAGGAAGGAAGAGGGAGGGAGAGGGAGGGAGAGAAACATCCATGATGAGAAAGAATCATGGATCAGTTGCCTCCTGCAAGTCCCCCACTGGGGATCAAGCCCACAACCCAGGCATGTGCCCTTGATCGATCAGAATCAAACCTGGGACTTTCAGTTTGCAGGCAGACGCTCTATCCACTGAGCCAAACAGGCTAGGGTTTGGCAGGTGATTTCACTTCTGGAGCCCCAGTTTACAGATCAGTAAAACGGGGATTAACACCTGCCTCAAAGTTTGTGTTGTTTTTTTTAACATAAAGAGAGAAACACTGATGTGAGAAACACTGATCGCCTGCCTCCTGTACACCCCACAACTGGGGATCATGTCCACAATTTGAGCATGTGCCCTGATGGGGAATCGAACCAGCAACCTTTTGGTGCATGGGACTATGCTAAACCAACTGAGCCTATATGGCCAGGCAAAGATTGTTTAAGGTATTAAATAAGGCATGTAAATTGCTTTTTGCTGCATAACTCTAAAAATGTAATTATCATAACAGTGATTAGTGCATAAATGAGTTAAGTATTAAATTGGGGCAAGAACTATTTATTTTTCCTCAGTTGAATGCAAAGGCCTCCTAGAGCCTTGGCCATAAAAGTTTGGTACAATATATAGAACACTTGCTATCTGCCAAGTGATATGCTTTACATACATTTCCTCCTTGTTCAAACACAATGAAACGTTCATTTTAATGACTCAGTGTCCTTATTTGGCTGCTGAGGAAATGGGCTTAGTTAAGAGGTTTGGTGTGAACCCTGGACTCACACCCAGGTGGTCTGACTTCATAGCCTGTGTCACCTGAATGAGCATGCTTACCCTGTGCGCACAGTAAAGCCACTTTGTATGCTGGCTGCCCTCAATATAATTAAAGCCCAGGAGAAGCGGATGTAATTTCCATTTTTAGGAATCTGAGCTCCTTCTGGGCTGGCCTGTATGCACTGGTAAGAATAAACACTAAGTCTACCATTTAGGGATCACTGTCAACTCTGAATGGAACATGTCAACAAACCAAAGATTGTTTGGAAGAAGAAAAAGAAGGCAGCACGTCCTGAATATCTAAACAAGAACAACTGTGTCATCAGTTCATCAATGTTTACAATTCCTCCTCTGCTGAGGACTGCAGTCCTTTCAGTTAGGAAGGCACAAACACTTGCAAAAAATCCAGAGGATTTAGGCCAGGAACGTGATGGAAAACAGCTTGAAGAAATCATGGCTTGAAGTCTGAGAAACAGACGCTGAAGGAAAATATTTAAGTCTGTTAAGAAGTGGAATTACACTCTGATTAACTGTCCTATATGCCTAGAAAATCCACATGTGGATTTAACATGCCTCACTTGGGGCTTGAACTATATATAGAGAAGGACTCTACATTTTGAGGTATAGAATTTAGCATCTAAGATCCAATAAAAAAAACAAAAACAGAGAGAGGTATCCCCTAGATACCCAATTCTGGAAAATGCCCTGCACCTCTGAAAGATGAAGCTCATGTTCTCCAGCCCCAAGGCACCTGGCTGATTCGACACCCACCAGAGATCCTAGAGGCCTCAGGAAATATTCACACACTGGCACCACTTTCCTGCCAGATGCAAAATTCTAAACAGGACCTATCTCTGGAAGGAAACCAGGAAAGCCCCTGCTTACATTCTTAAGGAACTCCTCAGCGACAATACGGGCCCGGGCGTTGACCGACAGCTTCATCTCACTGATCTCTTTGTCGATCTCCTCCATGAAGTGGATCACAAAGTCCACCAACTTGTGTTTATACATCTGCTCTGTGTGGAAGTTGGTGATCAGAAAACTGATGTCATAACCCTAGGAAAGGAAGACAGCAGGGAGGAAGAGAAAAAACAGATTAGCATCCCAGGGGGAACTAAGCTGGCCATGTCCTCTGGGTTCACACAGTCACATGCTTCTAGCTGATTGCTATCTTCTCTCCAGCTACACACCTTTCAGTCAGTAGCCCACCTGCTCTGGTGGAGTGTCTATGTTGGATCCAAGCAATTGAACCCAGTTGAGTGTTTTGTGCATATTAGACGTCTCAGGAAGACCATCTGTGGCACAAATATAGTAGCATTCAGAATGAATGAGTCAAGGGAGAGTGAAGAGACTTGAAATTTTGTTATAGAAGAATCCAATCAAATAGGGTACACTTAATCTGGAGAGAAGGGATGCTGTGGGAGAGGGACGGGATGGAGTCCAACTGTCAGAGAGTTTGTGTGTGGAAGAGTGATTTTACTTATTCTGGGTGGCCTCAGGGAGTGGAGCTAGGACCAGAAGATTTTAGCTCAGAATGAGGACTAGCTTATCCAACACATCTAATGTATCTGGTGATGCTGCATGCTGCTCTGTGTGGGTGGTGTTGC